GTCTCTGGATGATTTCCCGGTATTGGACGGCATTATCATACGAGCAGAATAAACTCTAAGCTTGTTTACAATTTTATTGAACACAAAAAGTATGAAACTATTGTTTTAAAAAACTGCGTCTATGAAAATAAGCTTTGACATATGCCTACAACTACCCGAAAAATGCACAACTATCTAGCTCCTCGATTATTTTTTAAACAGAAAAAAAAAAACCGGCGAATAATATTTTTGAGAATCAAATTGAAGCAAGAAGAATAACACAAGCTTTTCATTGTATGACAATACTCAGTAAATTAGTAAATTCGGTTTCTCTGTTTAGGACCGCTCCCTTTTTTATTTCGCCTCCTTGCTTTGCTGATTTTCAGTGAAAGCGCATAATTTTGCTATGATATGTAACAGGTCCCACAGTGTAAACCATTCATGATCTAGAGAATAGTGCCATGGTGTAACCCTAAAATGGACTAGTCCCCGAGACATGTTCTTGCGATTAGCCTTCTCGTGTACGCCAACCTTGAACTTTTGTAGCAAATCTCTTTCACAGCCAATCAAACTTTGACGACATGTGTACTTGACTATACCAGTAGATCTTCAAAGTTTGCATACAAGTGCTTGTCGTACATTTTCATGTTGATCAGCCTCTGCAGGAAAAAAAATAATTATGAGTAGTATAATTAAACTGGATGTAGTCCCTGTTTACGTCATGAACGGCGATCGAAATAAGCTCAGAAAAGCGAGGAAAGTACACTGCAGCTGTACAGCGTTTACATATGTTGTTTCAGTATACCTTTACAGTGAATGTTTACATAAACGGTTGTAAGCGGAGTTTGTTGGTATGTTATTACCAAGAGACTCCGTGAAAAAAACAAAGCGCGAGAAAGGCAATTTTCGTGCAGGGACTTAGCAGAAAAGAAGCCGGCATCCAGTATAATGCTAATAATTATGATGGCACTAAGGCGTGCCCGGACATCTGAAAAAATCTTCGGCAATTTTCCGGAAAGGGAAGTCATGGGTTGTTGTGTTCATCGCGTCTCACCTTGTGCTGCCTTTCCATGTCCTTCAACTGATTTCTTAATTCAGTGAATGTTGGTCTTGCATCGC